GGGGAGGAGGGGGGGAGGCGGAAAGGGGGTGGGCATGATCTTTACCCATGCTTGCTATAATACATGTACAATGTCGCACATACCTTTTTTTTTTTTCTCCCATCATTGGACTCTGTCGTCTGCCCCTCTGGCCCCTATCCTCCAATTCTACTAGCTAGACGACCCAACCGGGTCACATAGGAGGGGGGGGCTGGACCCCCTCCTGCGGTTCCTGCAATCCCTTCCCTCGCGACTTACGAAGTCGATTATNCTTACGAAGTCGATTATGGTTTACGAACAACGAGCTCTGCAGCGCGACGCTTTCATCCTAGACCAGGATGTATTTAGTGAGAAAAAACATTATGTACTCGTGTAGTTGTTTGCCGATTCAACCCTCCTGTACGAACCTTCAGCAGTGTAGTGGGCACACCTCGCTGGTGCTTTATACACAGTGTACGTTGCATGCCGAGGGTGTGCTGGTGTGCTGGTGAACCGCTGTACACAGGTCGCTTGCTTGTAGGCTTGTAGCAACACACGACACGCGTCCGCCCTCTACGCGCCGCCAACGGTGAAGGACTGGGTGGAGTGATATGATGAGGACGCATGCGCGGCTGTGCCGTTTCGTGCTGTGTTGTTGCTGTATTACATATAACTGCTGCTGGCTGGACATGTAGACCACATATGCACGTATGTCCTGACCACCAGCTGCTGGCAGTCCTCCAATGTACATCTGCTGGACTGCTATTCTCTCCGACGCGTTATGCAGTGAGGACACTCCTCCAATCCTCGGATGGCGTCTATACATGGTCGGCGCCGTACTCATATTCGCCAAAGACTCAATCTAGGCACGCAACAACCGTACTCATACCCGCCAAGGCTCCACCCAGTTACACAACAACTGAAAAATATACGGGATGGGAATTTTTTTTCATTTTTTCGACCGCTCTCTATTTTCAAGAAAATTGACTGTCGACGGTCGACGGTCGACGGTCGACCGTCGACGACGACGTTCTTCGAGTATTTCATTATGGTGATGTATGCACCGCTCATCGGGGTAGAGTTACGATCGAAACACACATTGAGATCGACCACGCCGTCAGTCGTCACAGTGCACCAAACATCTGATAGGGTTGCAATTACCGCCTCCGACGGCACAACGTACATGTCAATTTATCGTGCGACTCTCCTGTACGAAACAAGGACGACGACCGCACGCATTGGGCGGGGTAACTTTCGATGATTTTCCGCACCTCGGACGCGACCTCCACCAAGTTTGCTTCGAACGGGGGGACGATGACTGCATCATCTTCGCGTAGGGTACCTCGGGGTTGGCTCTAGGCGCTGTCCGCAGACGACAGACGATATCCATGCGAGGGACGGGAAGCCAGCTAGAGAGTGATGGGGGGGGGGGGGGGGGG